CAATGATGGACGGTTTGATACTAAATTTCCACAAATCATTTCCTACACAAGCTGGGGCGTTCATTATTTATATGATATATCAATCGAAATTAATCAATTGGTAGACATTTACTACAAATGTCAAGACACCTTGGTTAGTAAACTAAATTAAACAAATGCAGCTTATCTGTATGGTTGTTTATGGCCTGGTCAACCAGATATGAACCCCAATGATCAATAGACGAATACTCCCCTAGGTGATGCTAGTGTAATCACATGTCATGTGTTGTAACAGTTAATTGTTGCTAAGTCTTCTTCACCTTCAATTACACTTGTCAAAAGGGTATAGAACACAGTAATAATCGTAACCAATATATGACGGCTATATCAGGGGAAATTACTGTAGTTGATTAGATAAGATTGAATTAGTATTTACCCTGTTGGGTGGCTCACTGCGTGTCCAAACTGGTATACCCCAAATCTACCTGCATTACTGGCAAGGAATGACTAGATTTAATTAATGGGTTATCGGATAAAGAACACTTCCCTTATTGTTGACGAAGATCGTGATGATGATGGGAGTTTGTAACTCACATAACCCTGCGTCTAGAGGAATATAATTGTGTAGCTACAAGCATTTTCCAAGCGAGACTTGTTGATGTTAAAATTAACGGCGTTTGCCTCCTTCCCGGCTTACGAGACGTATCTCTCTCGCCAGTTCCTGTAATGTCCTTTTATTGACAATGGGAGACAGGCTTTAGTTTTTAGTAATTGTATTAGATCCAGTCATATAAAGTACTTTTCGATAATTCGAAAGCATAGACTGGTGTTTTAAGTGATTCACATTATTATTAGCTGGTAAATTTTATTGCGACGAGGCAGTGATATCTCGTTTTTCTCTAGAAAAATTCCACAGCAATCTCGTTTCTTTGAATGAATTTGTTAGTACAAAAACAGCAGCAATATTAACTGAATATTGTATTAAAGGTTAGTAAATGGTGTCGGTTCTTCTGATCTTCATCTTAAATCTTCAGAAAACATTAATAAACATCCACATCCAACTAACTGTGGTGTGGCTAGATAATGAAGCGGTACTGCAATTGAAAGGCAACTATAAGAGCAAAATGTTCTATGTCAGTAACAACTCTAAAGTAATTAGAGACTTATCATTTGGATACAAACTCTGATAGTCCCAATTAAGGAGAAACCAGCTGATAATCTATCTAGAGGACTTACGTTATGGCAAATAACTAAAGCCGAGATGTGGTTCCATGGGCTTCAGTGGATAGTCATTTACAAGTGGCCCGAACAAAAGTCACAAGTCATAATGACCAATGTCACTGTTCCCACTGAGATCCCAGGCCTCACTTGACTTCAGTAATTGACTGTTCTCGGTGCTCTGAATAAACTACTCAGAGTAACCCAGTGTTTGATTTCTTGCAGAAAGTAGGTATCAAGCACAAGTAGATACATTAAGAGCACAAGGTGCTCCTAAGTACTGGGTCAAACATGCACAAGTGTAAACCTAGACTGAGGACTATGAAACTTCTCTCCAAAAAATATAAATTACTTAAGTCTCTGGATTGATCAGAACGTTCTGCATTGCGGGGGAAGATTACAGCACACAGACGTTGATCTTGAAGTAAACAACCTCAGTTCCTCCCCCCGGAATCTTTAGATAAGTAGATTGCTTGTGCTTTACTTTCACGACCACTGCGCACTCCATGGTAGGGTACTGGCTTCCCTAAGGTTCCCAAACTGTTAAGTTTATTCTTAAATCCTGTCTGCCTGAGGTGCGATGCTCGATGTGTCCTTTCCCTGGACCTCCACCACATCCTAGGGACCGAGAACTGCACCTTCATCCTTTTGAGACTACTGTGGTAGACTTCACAGGAGCTATTATCCTAACAGGCACCAGGGATAAAGTCCCTGTTAAGGCTTACATTAAGGCTGTTAAGGCCTTTTTACTTGTGCCACCACTCGAGGAGCCCACCTGGCAGTGACTCCCCAATGAATGCTGAATCATTCATCCAGGCCTTCCACAGGTTTGCTGTATGTAGATCCTGCCCCAAGTTGATGATATGCGATAACGGGTCTAGCTTGGTGGCTGGTGAAGCATGCCTATTGTAGGTCTGGCACCGCCCAGTTGTTCAGACTGCCCTGAATCAATGGCAGTGATACTGGCAATTTTACCACACAGAACACTGTGGCACGGGTGTGCTACGAGAGGATAGTAGGGACAGTGAAACGCTGTCTAAGTAAAAAACTCTGCACTACCAGAAAATAGATCTCCATGAACTCCAATCCGTTGTCACAGAAATTAATTCCAGAGTCAATAACCGACCACTGACTTACCTCTCTGACGACAACTCACAACACGAGCCTGTTAGTCCATCTCATCTGATGTATGGAGGATCTGTCACCCCTATTGCCTCCCTCACTAATCAAGAACGTAGAGATCCTTCAAACGTTGGGGAAAATGGTTTACCTCGGAGTTATAAACACCTGTCACAGGTAATCAGTCGGTCGAATGAATTTTGGACAAGGAAGAATTAACTGCTCTGCGTGAGTATCACAATGGGACTACCAACCCCTATAACCGAATTCACTTACAACCATGGCGATGTTGTTCTAATGGACAGCGACAGCCGCACGTTCAGAGTGGCTTATAGCTTGTATTGTTTGTGTTCACCCACACAGCCAGGGTACCTTGACGATAGTAAAAGTAAAGTGCAAATGCACCACTAGCCTCAAGACATTATAAAAGTTAGTACCACTGGAGTTGGCTGGAGAAGAAGTCGCCAAGAGACCACCAATACTGGACGTCCATCCTGTACGTACTGCTGCACAGGAGTGCAAACTAAAATTAAAACAATATTTTAAAAAATCTGAAAAGGAGTAATGAAGTGTTCGGCTAGTCCTAAACAGTGGGTTCCGATCCATTTTTGTTGCTGTGTAGAACCATCAAAACAAAATTAAAGTTAAGTTTATCTTCAATAGGAAGAAATGTAAATAATTCCTCCACTCATTGTGGAGAAAATGTGACCGCCACGTCACAAACATGTAGAGTACAGAGCGTATTTGTGTCTATACATAAATATTTAATTCATAGAGTCTGGTTACGGTTTTCAGCATAAATTAACAAAATAAATAAAAGCTGAAATCATTTTAAAGAAAGTAAAATTTAAATACCTCTCCTCTGGGATTGTGATAAAATATATATGGGCAAGAGCGCTCCTTGACTGAGAAAGGAGACTCGCCATATTACACTTAACCCAAACGGAACACACTCTAAGTGAGTACCTAAGTAACAGAAGATAGCAAATCACTGTGTGGGGTGAGGTCTCAGATTGGGGAGACGTCACCAGTGGGGTCCCGCAGGGTTCAGTTCTTGGACCCATACTGTTTCTTATATATGTCAATGATCTCCCAGAATGTATAGAATCATTCCTCTCATTGTTTGCTGATGTTGCAAAAATTATGAGGAGGATTAAGACGGTGGAAGACAGTATGAGACTACAAGATGACCTAGACAGACTGCATGAATGGTCCAACAAATGGCTACTAAAGTTCAACCCGAGTAAATGTAAGGTAATGAAACTAGGCCGTGGAAACAGGAGGCCAGACACAGGATACAGAATGGGAGATGAAGTCCTTCATGAAACGGACAGAGAGAGAGATGGATCTAGGAGTTGATATCACACCAATCCTGTCTCCTGTAGCCCACATCAAAAGAATAACATCTGCGGCGTATGCAAGGCTGGGTAACATCAGAACTGCCTTCAGGAACCTGTGTAAGGAATCATTCAGAACCTTGTATACCACATATGTACGACCAGTCCTGGAGTATGCGGCCCCAGCATGGATCTCGTACCTTGTCAAGCACAAGGCGAAGCTTGAAAAAGTTCAGAGATATGCCACTAGGTTAGTCCCAGAACTAAGAGGCATGAATTACGAGGAAAGGCAGAGAGCAGGCACCTCACAACATTAGAAGACAGAAGAGTAAGGTGAGACATGATCACTACCTACAAAATTCTCAGAGGATTGACAAGGTAGATAAAGATAAACTGTTTAACACGGGTGGTACGCGAACAAGGTGACACAGGTGGAAACTGGGTGCCCAAATGAGCCACAGGGACGTTAAAAAAAACTTTTTCAGTGTCAGAGTAGTTAACAGATGGAATTCATTAGGCAGTGATGTGGTGGAGGCTGACTCCATACAGAGTTTTAAACGTAGATAGGATAGAGACCAGTAGGGTCAGGAATCTGTACACCAGTTGATTGACAGTTGAGAGGCGGGACCATAGAGCCAAAGCTCAAACACCAAAAGCACAATTAGGTTAGTACACTTGATGCAGGGCTGGAGTTTTGAAGAGAATTAATAATCACTTTCATGCCCACGGCACGTGGATACACGACGGGTTTATTTCTATCGCTTGTGTGGTCGTGTCGTACATTTACGGTCCGTTTTAAAATAATTGTAAAAAAGCCAGCTTAAATCCGATTTACTTGGGGTTTGTTTCAAACTGCGCGCCATGAAATTCCCGTTATATTGATGGGAATAAACAGGCTCCCAACTATGCGCATGTATTGGCAGACGACGGGTTTACACGACGGGTTTATTTCTATCGCTTGTGTGGTCGTGTCGTACATTTACGGTCCGTTTTAAAATAATTGTAAAAAAGCCAGCTTAAATCCGATTTACTTGGGGTTTGTTTCAAACTGCGCGCCATGAAATTCCCGTTATATTGATGGGAATAAACAGGCTCCCAACTATGCGCATGTATTGGCAGACGACGGGTTTACACGACGGGTTTATTTCTATCGCTTGTGTGGTCGTGTCGTACATTTACGGTCCGTTTTAAAATAATTGTAAAAAAGCCAGCTTAAATCCGATTTACTTGGGGTTTGTTTCAAACTGCGCGCCATGAAATTCCCGTTATATTGATGGGAATAAACAGGCTCCCAACTATGCGCATGTATTGGCAGACAATAAACCATGGCATGCAAGATTCTTCAACATGTTTATGACGAGCAGACGGTTTCAACACATAGGCCAGTTTTTTCATACGTTCAACAACAATGCGGTGCCAGTCAACAATACAGAAAAATTGATCAAAGTGAGACCAGTGATGGACTACCTGAAACACCGGTTTCAAGAAGTGTATAACCCAGTGAAAGAGATGTGTTTGGATGAAGGCACAATGGCATGGCGAGGCCGGTTGTCGTTCAAAGTGTACAATCCAAACAAACCACACAAATATGGCGTGAAATTATATATGCTAGCCGAATCAACATCTGGCTACATTTATGGATTTGAAGTGTATTCTGGCATTGGTCAAACCATCATGGAAACAGTTACTGGTTTGATGTGGCCATTATTGAACAAAGGGCACCACCTCTATATGGATAACTTTTACAACTCGGTTACCCTTACAGAGAAGTTGCGAGAAGTGGGGGTGTACACGTATGGAACAATTAGACTCGTACGTGGCGCCCCAAAAGAACTGCAACATATAGCAAAGACTAAGATTGATGTGGATACCACAGTCTACCGCCGCAAGGACAACACCTTCATTCTGCTGTGGAAAGACAAGCAAGTTGTCTCTATGATTACCAACCTCCACAATGCAGACATAAATAGAGTTCAAAAACCCAAACGAGTTCGTAGGCCAGATGGAACAACAGGACTACAGCAGGTTGTGGTGAACAAACCAAAGGCAATTGTTGACTACAATAAGTTCATGGAAGGGTGTTGACCACTTTGATCAAATGGTAAAGTATTACCATTTCGCCAGGAAATGTCACAAGTGGACAAAGAAAATAACCTATTATTTCCTGCAAATGGCTTTGCAAAACGCTTATGCATTGTACAAGGCCAACACAGATGACCGAAAGAAACTAACTCTGCTCCAGTTTCATGAGATTGCTATTTGGGCTTTATTGAAATTTGACAAGGAAGAGTGGCCTGCAACAACAACACCATCTCCTCATTTATTTCATGCTCCAGACATAAATGATGACACTGGTCCTGTGTATCCTGCTGCTGACCCGTCAACACCTGGCCCGTCGGGTGTGAGGCGCCCTCTCTTCACGTCGACACCTCGTGCTGAAGCCGATCATGAATCTGATGAAGATATTTCATCTGCTACACTGTTGTTTGAAGACAATGGTGAGAGCGACGACTCAGACTGTAGTGTACAATCAACACAGAGACAACAGGGACATGTTGTTTTATCAGAGACTCGCCTGAACTACAAATTGAAGCATGAACATGTAAAACTACCCAAACGTCGCAGGTGTTGTGTGTGTTCAAAGTCGGGTATTAGGAAGGAAACTGGTATAGCATGCAAGACATGCGATGTTCCACTTTGTGTCATACCGTGTTACACCACTTATCACAGGAAAAGGTGTTGCGGACCCGAGCCCAGCGTCCGAGCATGGAGCAGTGACGACAGCGCCATCTGTGGGTCAGCTCCCGAAACCCCCTCCAAATGGACGACGCCATCTAGTGAGGACAAGGTATACTGGCCACAAGGGCTAGTTTCCAGTCCTAATCAGCTCGTGACGTAGCCGCTGCTGACCTCTGGTGAGGTGACGCTTGGACAGCAATGCCATCTATGGAGCGGATAGGTGGACGTTTGTGTCTAAGCCTGTGAGTGAGGTGCCCTAGAGTGTCATTAGTACTGATGACGTGTCTGATTACAGAGTCGACCTGGGACTGCTGTAATGAACGTTGGATCAGTCTACCCAAGGCAGCCTTAGAATCTCCAAGTGTTAGCTGCAGAAGTTGTGAGTCACCCCCCGGATGAACTCTGTTGTGTTAGCCTGCCTGTGACGTGGCAGTTGAGGATTTGTCATGCCCGGGGCTGACTGGAGGAGAAGACTAACCACTGGGGTGTTGTGGCGAGGAAAGTGATCTGTGGGATCACACGAGGCTCCTGCCTAGGACTCGCAACCCTAGTATCGGTCGTAGAGTGGCCTAACCTGCGGAACTGATTGGAACCTGCCAGCTACAGGCTGGATTTGTGGTTGAAGGCCTCCACGAAGGTGCCCCCAGTGGAACTGTGATTTGGCTGGCCTGTGGCCAGGGTAGACTCGAGAGAATCGAAGGATTCATCGTGAGGCCACAAGAGGACCAAGAGCTAAGCATCGTTGAGCACCGTGGAACACTCCTCGTCTTCAGAGGAAGACCAGATTGTATATAATAGTGTTTATACCTCCCCCGTGTGATAAAATATATATTATTTATGGTGACGGTGATAATTATATATTTAAGTTTTTGCCTTTGTCTCCCTTCCCCTTTAATTTACTTGCGTTACGGAACACACCCCTTGAAAGCCACTACTAACTTAGGGCCGGATACCCAAACTCTATTATCAGAGAAAGAACCCAGTTGCGACCCAAGAGGGCCGTAACAAAAGGGTGTATTGGGTGGACAAGAAGTAACCACCCACACCAGCTTCACTCCACCTATGAACATCTGTTGAGCAACTTCAGGAATCCGTACCTGAAGGAGGTGGAGTGGAGAGAAAATGCTCAACTTATTTTTCTACAATCGTCTTTCCTTTGGTAAGTACACACAATTGTCCTAGGTTGTTGTAGTATTGTAGTCCATTTTCTTAGGAATATTTTAATACCTAAATGACAAATGTAGCACGAAAACTAAAGTAAGTATACATGAAACACAAGAAACTTTTTTTGCGGGTGTGAGTTTGAGTGTCCAGAGCAGGTTCCCAGTGTGTGTGTTTGGGCGTCTTGTGGGACATTTGGGGCTTGACTCTATTTATTTAATTATTAAAGTAACGAATCAATTACGAAGGACCACCCGCTTTTATAGTAAAGCGGGAAACTAATAAAATGTGATCATTAGAAATTCCTGTAAGAACCAGTTACTATGGATAAATATTAGGAAATATAATCACTTGAATAATTAATGGGATGTATAAATAATTTACTTGAATCAAAGCCTCAAACACCTACATTGGGGGGTATTGCTAGAACTTCATATATGTCTAGGAACTAGTGTGGTTCGTACACCAGTTCATTGTGTAATAACCTAATCTTATGTTCTTTAATTCCAATTAAAGAATCAATAGAAAATCTATCACCAATAAAAATATAGATCATCAACATCAGAAATTAATCATTATAATAAACACGTATTATCTCCAGTGTACAGCATTCTATAAATGATAACTAAAATACTGATAATTTGAATAATCAAAGAAATACGACAAGTCTTAGCTTGAAGACGTTTTCAAAGACATCAGTTACGAATCATCCTCGGGATCTCCGGAATTCCTCGTAGAACACTGGGAGATGAATAACACGGGTAAAGTAACAGCTCGTGGAATTCCTCACACGCGAGCAGTAAATTAAGGGATATTACGTAGCAATGTACTAGGCTACTAAATATCTGTATTCAAGAAATTGGGAATAAACTTAATTTAGAATACTAACATGTGGTTTATTTATGTCGCTCAATGTGACGACAAGCTACCCTGCTATATACAATCTCTAATGATGCATCAAAAGGGAGTTATATAAGTACTTAGCTAATAGGGCACTGTATAAGTTGAAGCTTGCCGAAACTCGCGTCCCAGGCTCTAGCGTCACAATGGCGAACACGTGGTGGTTAGCTTGGCTTGGATGTCGACGTGCTTATTTGGCCGGTCACGATGGATCACGTAGAACAAATTAACTAGTTCCGGGTTGAATGTCAGGTTAAATCTTGCTGACAATTCACCACAACGTATCCTAGACTCTGACACCAAACGAGTTGCTCAATTCCGCAACAAGTCTTCACGCCGCACACTGGCGATTTCTCCTCGAGCTGGCGTCTGCCACAACAATGGCGTCTCCCTCTCCCCGGCGTCTCGCATTCGCCACAGAAATTATTTATCACGAATAATATTATTTCGCGCAGTTGTGGCTAAAATGCTTTGATAAAGACTGGGTTGTAATTCTAGGGAGCTAAATATTATTATTTTCTCGTCTTACGATGGTAAACGAGAAATGGAGATGATTTTAGTTCTCTCCATGGCATTCACACGTGACGTTAAATTTATTACGTAATGACAATTATAACTAAAAACTCTCGATTTGGCATTATTTGGGAGTTATGTTATTGGTAAATAATTATCACACGGAATACTGATGTTTTTAGAGAATCACACTCAATTCTCTAACACACTGGATATAATTGTGTTTAGCTTGGTAGAATCTGACGCAATACTGGCGTTTGGTTACGTAAGAATTCCAGCATTATTGTACAGATACAATTATTAGTTCAAATAAACACTACTGTTATTTAATTTTAGTTACTACAGTAATTAGTAGATTTTAGTAATAATTAATAATAATACAACAGTATTGTATTAGTGTTGGAAATTTCCAACATAACTCCGGGGGGAGATTTATCGGGTCGCAGTGTAATGTTGAGTACTGACATACCCATCCCGAAGTTAGTATTAATATTAGTATGTTAGTACACACATAACGGATGTCCCGTATTTGTCAAGGACATACAAGAAACTTAAGTCTTGCAGATTTCATGTTGAATGGAACATGTTATTATGAATTATTTAAAGTTAATAACTAAGAAAGCCTACAATAAACTCTGTGACTAGTGTCGCTATGACATGTAATGTTTATGTTACTAAGTCTTAAAGTCTAGTAAACTCTCAGATACTCTAGACGAAATAATGTTATTAATAGCCTATACAACAATTAAGAATTAAATCACACAATTCAAATAACTAAGAATCTACTGTGATGAGAATGTCCTGGGTCATTGTGACTGGTAACTGTTTTGTTACTTGACATCACACCGCAGTATCATCATGATTATTTAAATTGGATGGGAAGGTATTTGCTCTTGGTCAGAGCTGTAATAGGCTTGTAGTTTCCGCTTGCATTGTTGAGCAGCAGCTCTAGTGGGTCGGTTGCTCGGTGGATCAGAATTGCTGTCCTCGGAAACTGTTGGTGAAGCTGGTTCTGGTAAACACTCTCGTTCTGCTAATTCGAGAGGTACCAACTTCTCTAAGGTTTTTAGGGTAGTGTTGCCTCGGCATAAAACTTTCACTACTCTCAGGATACCTTGGTGATCTGGATGGATAGCAACAATTTTGCCTATGGGCCACTCTGCCCTTGGTCCATCACTGTCAACCAGTACTAGGTCTCCTGGTTTAAGTTGTACTTTATTATAGGGACTCGAAGCTCCGTAGTGGTACTCTCGAGTCCACACCTCATTCCACCTTTCAATGACTCTTGAGAGATGTTGGTAACTTTCTACTAAGTTACTCCTGGTTACATGTGAAGGGTCGACGGGGTCCTCTTCTGCTAAAGGTATGAGAGGACTCAGCAGGCCTCCATGTATCAAGTGTGAGGGACTCAGAGGTTCTCTCTGTGAGAAATCATCTGACAGGTATGTTAATGGGCGGTTATTGACTCGCGCCTCGATTTCCACAACAAGTGTTTGGAGTTCGGAGTAACTAATTTTTTGTCGATGTAAGGTTTTTCTTAAACACTTCTTGACAGTTCCTATCATTCGTTCATAGAACCCACCTTGCCAAGGGGCTCTTGGAGCTATACATTTCCAGTGACATTGTCGTCTCTGCAGGACTGACTGTACTTCTGGATGATTCCATACTTCTCGCAGACAGGCTTCTCCTGCCACAAAATTGGAACCATTGTC